AGGAATGGTCTGTGCAGAAACAAACATGCTTCTGTAAACATATGCATGAATGAGTGCACATCTATGAAAGAAATGTTCTGATGAATAAATCTAACATCATGATTCTGTATCTAATGATGATTTGTCTCAAACTTTCCTCCCTGGGAACTTACACTCTAAACACTAAAATTTGTGTCATCTGACAAGTAGTCCAGTAAGGTCCACAAACAGTGGATTAAGAGAGCCAAGCATCTTTGTTTTATGTTGAGCTCTATTGGTTTTTCAATGAATACAAAGAACCAGATCATATTAAATGCTGGCATAGGAAAAAAATTGTCTTCTGTGAAGCTAGAGGCAGGGGAAATCTTCTGGTGGAATCATAAAACAATATCTGCAATATTAGAATGCATAGCAGATACCCCAAAATGAATGCAGGTTTGTGGGATGTATCACTCAGCGGCCCTGGGTTCCACCATAGTGTGGTTAGCCCTGCCTCTGTTCTGAGGATATTACAGGGGCCTTATGTCATAAATCTTATATCACATGTACACTGATTTAGGTCTAAAATCCCAAGAAAACTCTTCATTATCTATGCAACATCAAGTAGACAGTCAGGCACAATGCCTGGAAATAAATTTTATACATCAACACCTCACAAAGTCCAGGAGAGAATGTTTATCTTATATCCATGGTCAATGTAGAGACTTCTGTAAAATATGTGGATGTTAGCTTAGCAAAAACAAGAAGCATCTCTTTAAGAACCCTGGCAACTCCTCAAGAATCCAAAATAAGGGAAGTCAGAAGAGAATTACCATATGCTATTTAGCCAATATTTATTACTAGCAACGTGTTGGACATCGTATTAGGCAATGTGAACAAAAAGTTGAGTAAAATATAGTTTGACCTTATAAGAGCTTACAATCTAAGTCAGAGGATGAGATAACAATAACATCATCTATTTCTCCATTGCGTTTCAGTCTCCAAAGCACTGTCACATATTGCAATTTTACTGTTCTGTCCTCTTTTCACAGTTCCGGAAGGTAAAGGCCAAAAGCAAAATACAAAATATTACGGGAGTTCCAAGGAAAAAGGACTCCATGTAGCTAGATGATAGTGAGGGATGGGAAGTGAAGACTCCATGGAGAAGGAAGCATTTTGGGTGAGCTCCGAAAGATAGACATATTTCAATCAACAATGACAGGTGGTGATGATTATAGGAATAACTCGTGTGCAGGACATCAAGTCAAGAGAATGCTACAGAACAATTCAGGGGAAGCATGAGGAACATTATTTGGTGCAACAAAGAAGCAGAGAAAATATAGATTGAGGAATTATGCTTGACTTATTTAGATTTTGGGGAGGTGAATAAAATAAATGAATTGTACTTGGATCTGAGATAGGAAGAACAACAGAACACCATCACAACAGGAACATTCTGGAAGGCTGGGCCATAGGCATTTTTCTTTTCTCCTTCAGGGGAGTCCTTCATTTATTTCAAGCTATTCCATGAGGTTCACATCAAGTTTACTTCACTTTTTATGTTTTCCTTCAAATCTTATCAGGGGTACTTTTTTTGTTTTTTTGTTTTTGCAATCAAGTCATCTCTAATTTATGTACATATCTTCTCTTCCTAACGTCTTTCAAATAGTGGTTGTCTGAAGGATTGTAAAAATTTGACTTTTGCTTTTGTTCATTTTTTTGTGTTTTTTGATTTTCTATTAAGAGCAGGAAGTATTTTAATAATACAAACCTAGAGCAGGGAACGGGGCTCAGTGGTAAGATATTTTGCCCAGCATGCCTGAGACCATGGGTTCAATCCTCAATACCACCAAAGAGGTAAAAATAAATTTTTAAAATGCAAACATATTTTTGTAATTAAAAACATGGATCATTTTTTTCCTAAAGTTTAATATGTTTATTCCTGATATCTACCAACTGTTGGACACATAGATTGTCTAGATTGTCTTAAATTTTTGAAATGACAGACTGGGAAAAACAGCTAAAATTAGATGAAAATAAACTAGTGTTTAAGGAGTACAATCTTGTCATTGGGAAGAGAGAAAAAAAAAGGAAACATAAAAATAGGAAACAATGCTTAAAGATGCATAAAACATCATGATGCCATTTCCATGGTGTGTTGACCAGCTTGCTTTTCTCCAAAATACTGTGGCCAATTTTTTTTCAGCTAAATAGTAATGTGACTGTGTTGGTCAGTTTTTGGTTACTATAACAAATATCTGAGATAAATCAACTTATAAGGAGAAAAGGTTTGCTTTGTCTCACAGTTTTGGAGGTTTAAGTTCATTATCAATTGGCCTGAAGCTTTGGGCCTATAGTGAGGCTGCACATCATGGCAGGAGTACACAACAGAGCAAAACTATTCACATGGCCAGGAGGAAGAGAGGAAGGGACTGGGTTTCCACAACTCCAGCAACCCAAAGATGCCCCTGCCAACTAGAGCTCCCCTCTTAAAGTTTTGTCACTTCCCAATAGTACCAAGCTGGAAACTCTGCCTTTAACACATGGGCCTTTGGGGATAAGCTGGATACAGGCTATAGTAAGCCTAGGCCAGTCAATTAAAGAAGAACTATCTGATCTTATCCTCAGAAGACTTAAGGGACATAGGCCATATAAAGGATTCCAGGGTGTTATGGGAACACTGAGAAAGATATCCAACTCTGCCTGAAAGGATTAAGGAAGATATCATTGAAGGTAATTATTAGACTTCAGCTCCTAAAATGAGCATGAATTAGGTGAAGAAGTGACTGAGGAGAATGAAAGTATAAAAGGATCTTTAAAGTCGTGGGAACAACCTGTACAAAGACACAGAACAAGAGTGACTATGGGCCAGGTGTGGTGGTGCATGCCTGTAATCCCAGTGGTTTAGGGAGCTGAGGCAGAAACATTACGAGTCCAAGGCCAGTCTCGGCAAAAAGTGAGGCACCAAGCAACTCACTGAGGCCCTGTCTCTAAATAAAATACAAAGTAGGGCTGGGGATGTGGCTCAGTGGTCCAGTGCCCCTGAGTTCAATCCCCGGTATAGCCTTCCACCCCCCCCCCCCCCCCGCAAAAAAGTGACTATGGGACATGGAGAGAATTCCAAGGGATATATTGTGACTAGAAGGAAGGAGCACATCTGTGTGTAAGTTAATGGGATTTATGGGGGGGGGAACATGAGGAGAGAGGGTTACAGAATGGACCAATTTAACATGGGTATTTTAGAATGAGGAGAGATAACAATTTTACTTTTTAGTTCATGTTTAATTTTTTCTTTTGGTGATATGATTATTATTAGACCTAATGACAGTACAAGAATACAAGTATATGGATATGAAAAATTAGGCCACATAGGAGATGGATATTCAAGACTGTTTTTCTGGTTAGAGGTTCAATGAAGTTTAGAAACAATTGCTCTAGGTGAAGGGTGACTATGATGGGTTTTAAGGAGGGAAGAAATATGGTGGTAAGATCTGAAACATCGGCAGCAGGGTGGAAAGTGATGGCAGAGAGCAGCTCACAGGTGTCAGTCCAAGTGGGAAATGATGTGAGCTGTCACTAAGCAAGGGGCCATGGTAATGGTGAGAACGTGATATATTGGAGAGATATTTGGAAGTAAAGTAAAAAGGGCTTGGTAGACTAACACTTAGTGGAACACAGAGGATAAAGAACGGAAATAATGGGCTGGATCCCTTGTGGAGCAATGACAATCAAGTTGAGGACAAGCCAGGCACCGTGGCTCATACCTGTAATCCCAGCAACCAGGAAGGCCAAGGCAGAAGGTCACAAGTTAGAAGCCAGCTTGTGCAATTTAGCAAGACCATGTCTTCTAACAAAGAAAACAAAATAAAACCAGGCTGGAGATGTGGTTCAGAGGTAGAGCACCCTTGGGTTCAATCCCCAGTACCAGAAAAAAAAAAAGTTGAGGACAGAACAAATTAGTTCTGCAACATTACAGACTATACATCTTTATAGAGGTCACAGTTGATAGCATTAGTTTAATGAATTTTAAATTTCCAAATTACCAGATAAAATATAAGAAGTACACAGATAAAATGTAAGAAATGTTGATGGAGACCTCCAATCCAATGTAAAAAAAAATTATCATATTCTGATCCCAAGAAACACTTGGAATGTAATGAGTTTCAATGGAAGTGGTTTAAAGTTCTAAATATGTTTATTCCTGTAAACACCATAAACTGTTGTGAAAGACAGTGATGAAATTATAAAGGCACTTACTCTCCAAAGCCTTAAGAGAACCCCCAACTGCACACAATATAAAGCTATGGATAATATCTAGAAATAGACACAGGGTGTGGGTGTGGGAGTGAAATATTTTTACTCTCAAACTCAGTCATTGTGAGTTAATTTGGAACATTGTGATTGAATGCTATCTTAAACAATCATTACACTTTTCTCCCTGTTTTTGACCTAAATATGCTACATTGCCCTATTTTCCAGCAAACTTATGTAGAAAATAAATAAAATAATAACAATCTAAAAATAAGACAACATAATCTAAAATTAAAAAAATATATAATAAAAATCCAACATTATAAAATCTAAAAATCTAGCTGGGTGTGGTAGCACATGCCTGTAATCCCAGGGACTCAGAGGTGGAACCAGGAGGAAGCCAAGTATGAGGCCAGCTTTGGTAATTTTGTGAGACCCTGTTTAAAAAAAAAAAAAAGTGAGCTGGGTAGATGGCATACTCCTGTAATCCCAGTGGATGAGGAGGCTGAGGCAGGAGGATCAAAAGTTCCAGGCCAGCCTCAGCAATTTAGCAAAGACAGCTAAGCAACTTAGCTGTCTCTAAATAAAATATAAAAAGGGCTGGAGATGTGGCTCAATGGTTAAACACCCCTGGGTTCAATCCCCAGTACTTAAATACACAAATAAATAAATAAATAATGTTAAAAAGCAGAGCTGGAATGTTGCTCAGTGGTAGAGGACTCCTGGGTTGAATCCCCAGTACTGTAGAAGCAACAACAATAACAACAAAAATTCTGAAACAGGCTCTTCCTTCTTATTTCCCTTTGTTTATTCTTCCCCCTCTCACATTTCTCTTCAGGGATTCTTCATGTTATTTTTTTGCGTTTCAGTTTTAACCTTATTTCCTCAAGGAAGCATTTACTGCACTACTATAGAGTTGGGATAATTTTGCTATATGCTCTAATGCACTTCCCTTTTGGAAATATTTCTTTGGCTTGCAGTTATTTTTTAGAACTTCAATCCCCACTGGACAATAAGCACCATGAAGGCAGGGACACTGCCTGGCACAAGATTAACACTCAGTAATTATTAATTGAATTCAATTGAGCTTTGTGGACCAAATATATAAACCAGGTATATTAGGACAGAATCCCCATCTAAAAATTCAGGTGTGCAAGAAACATGTCTTAATGTCTACAATTCACCCTGACTTTCCTTTCATGAAGTTATCTTAGAGGGTGGCAGAAATTTTGTCTTGATCAATTCAATCAGTATCTTCCTCTCTGTTAGTCATGTTTTTGTTGCCATGACAAAATGTCTCAGAAATTCAAATTAGAAGAAGGAAACATTTATTACTCAATCAATGGTTGCTTGGCCTGTTATTTTGGGCCTGTAGCAGTACAGTATATCATGGCTGAAGCACATGACAGAGGAAAACTTCTTACTTCATAGCAGGAAGGAGACAGGGTCCCAATATTCATTTCTAGGGCATGCTTCCCATGGATTTAATTCATACAACTAGTCCCCACCTCCTAAAGAGTTCCCACCACCTCCCAAGAGCCAGTCAGCTGGAGATAGAAACTTCATCAAAAAAGGCTTTGGGAGGAATTTAAGATTCCAACCAGAGCTGGGCACAGGGACACAGGCCGATACTTCCAGGAGTCATAAGGCTGATGTAGGAGGATCACTTGAAATTAAGAATCTGAGATAAGCCTGAAAAACACAGTAAGACTCTATTAAAAAACAAAACAAAACAAAACAAATCATAACACTTTCTCTCAATTGTATGAAGCTGAGATTGAAAAGAAGTTCATTTATCTTGTGTCATCTGACATTTCAGTCTCTTGAAATATCCATTTCTCATTTCACCATTTTGAATTAGTCCAAGCAGATTTCTCAGGAGACCTTCATGTTCCTTTCCACCACTATTTGAGCCAGATTTTCTTTCCTCATGTCTCCCTTCTTGGCTTTGCGGAACATATTCTGCTAACTTTGTTCCTGCTTCTAGACCCTGGGGACCTTCTCATGAGGTTGTCTAGACCCATGTCTGTGAGGACACAACCAGGCAGAAACATCCTCAGGATATCACTGCTCCCCTGGAGTTGGGCTGGGAGGTTAAGTCCCCAGAAGTAAGCAAGGGGGGCCCTGAGTTTCTGCAGGTACAGCTTCTTTCCTGAGGACTCTCCCAAGCTCTCTTCTCATCCTTTCTGAACTCTCAACTTGGGTGCTTCTTGTTTACAGATAGTGTAAAGAGATGTGAAAGAGGAAGAGAGGAAAAAAAAAGAGGAAGAGAAACTATATTCTGTATTTTTTACTAATATCTTCTAACTCTCTTATCTATTCCTCAGTTTCTGCTTTTTATCTCTGGGCCTCTGCTTTGTAAAACTGAAAAGCTGGCAAGAGAATTTTCCCTTTCCCTACTCCTTTTTAAATTTTTTTTTTTCTGTAGCCACATTTTTTCCTGAAAACAAACAGACGTCTAGCTGCTTGTTAAATATAAAAAAAAGTGTCAAGAGGCAAATTGGAAGTATTAGGAAAATAGAAGAAAGGTTTTGGATGAAAACAGATAGATATTGCAAAATCAGTGTTCTGTTTCATATTCACAAGTGAAATGTGTGAGTGAAAAATCCATACATTCTTATTATTCTATGCCTTGTATAAAATTATGGACTCATCTTTACTTTGAATGTAGTATTTCATTACTATTTCTCACTTTATTTTATAAATTTTAATTCTCCAAAATACATCTTCTTTTTTTAAAAAAAATTAAGATAGGGATCCAAGATGGTGGGCCAGAGGGAGGCAGCATTCTGTGTGGCTCTGTGACCCAGGTCTCAATTAGTGGGAATACTGTTTTGCTGAGAGTGATAGAGGACCCCTCCACAGCTGATCCCACTCAGGAATCACCGCCACAGCACCGTGTAGGGTCAGGCCTCAGTGTTATTAAAGGACTCCCGTATCCCAGCTACTCGCCCATGCAGGTCTCATGGGTGCCTTAGTGGGACCACTGGTATCAGCACTGGTGCAGAATTCTCAGATGCTGCTCCCATGAAGGACACTCAGCCACTACACCCATGCAGGAACTCCCACTGCCAATCCCATGTGGACCCCCATCTACTAATAAGGGGCTCCCTGGTCCCCTCCATCTTGGGACTTGGCATCTACTGCCATAATCCCCTACTTACAGTAGCCTGCCTGCCCTGGGGACTTCACAGGCTCTGAAGAAAGCTGACAGCCACAAGACTGCATGCCACAGAGCTCCTCTCTGAACACATCACACAACACCATCGCCTGCCTCCCCTCACCTGACCTGAAATCCCATTGCTGAAACAGCTGCCTCTATCTTGGGTCACCTCCATCACCATCTTTAGTTGGGGCAACTACCAGTTTGAAACACGGGATCCCAGGTGAGGTATTGGAACCCTACAGGGGCACTATAAGCCTATAGGGTAAAAATGATAATGCCTCGGATCCACAGAGCTAGAAAGGAAGAAACACGAGTAATATGAAAAGACAAGGAAAGGAAGTGCCCCAAACAAATCAAGATGCCACATTATTAGAATCCACAACCAGCATAGCAGATGAAATTACAGAGAACGAGTTCAGGATGCACAAGATTAAAATGTTCTGTGAATTAAAGGATGATATAAGACAGCAAATACAGCCAGCAAAAGATCATTTCAACACAGATCTACATAAGCAAATACAGGAAGTAAAAGATTACTTAAATAGGGAGATAGAGGTTCTAAAGAAAAGCCAAACAGAAATCCCCAAAAATAATAATAAACCAAATTACAAGCTCAATTGAAAGCATCCCCAACAGATTAAAACACTTGGAAGACAGGACCTCACACAATGAAGACAAAATATATAATATTGAAAATAATGTACACCACACAGTGAAAATGGTAAGAAACCATGGGCAGAACATTCAAGAAATATAGGATAGCATAAAAGACCAAATTTAAGAGTTATTGGGATAGAGGAAGGTATAGAGTTCCAAACCCAAGGAATGAACAATCTATTCAGTGAAATAATATTAGAAAATTTTCCAAAAATGAAGAAAAAATTGGAAAACCAAATTCAAGAGGCTTACAGGACACCAAATGTACAAAATCACAACAGATCCATACCAAGGCACATTATAATGAAAATACCTAGCATACAGAATAAGGAGAGAATATTAAAAGCTGCAAGAGAGAAGATTGAATCACATATCAGGGGAAAACAATTAGGTTATGTGCAGATTTTTGAACCCAGACCCTGAAAGCTAGAAGATCATGGAACAACATATACCAAGCTCTGAAAGAAAATGGATGCCAACCAAGAATCTTATATCCTGCAAAATTAAGCCTTAGATTTGATGATGAAATAAGAATCTCTCATGATAAACAAAAGTTAAAAGAATTTACAGCTAGAAAATCTGCACTACAGAATATCCTTGGCAGAATATTCCATGAAGAGAAAATAGAAAACAACAATGAAAATCAGCAGAGGGAGGTATCACAATAATGGAAAAGATAATCAAAGGAAAAACCAAGTCAAATTAAATAACAAAAATGGCTGGAAATACAAACCATGTCTTAATAATTACCCTGAATGTTAAAGACCTAAACTCATCAATCAAAAGACATAGGCTAGCTGATTTGATTAAAAAATATGCTGTCTCCAAGAGACTCATCTCACAGGAAAAAACATATACAAATTGAATGTGAAAGGTTGGGAAAAATCATACCACTCACATGGACCATGGAAGCAAGCAGGGACTTTCATTCTCATATCAAATAAAGTAGACTTTAAGCTAAAGTTAATCAAAAGAGACAAAGAAGGACATTTCATACTGCTCAAGGGAACCATACACCAACAAGACTTAACAATTATAAATATATATACCCCAAACAATGGAGCATCTATGTTTACAAACAAACTCTTCTCAAGTTCAAGAGTCAAATTGAATACAACACAATAATTCTGGGTGACTTTAACACACCTCTTTCACCACTGGATAGATCTTCCAAACAAAAGCTGAACAAAGAAACTATAGAACTCAATAATACAATCAATAACTTAGACTTAACTGACATAGATACAATATTTCATCCTTCAATGAGCAAATACACTTTCTTCTCAGTAGCACAGGGATCCTTAACTAAAATAGACCATATACTATACCACAAAGCAACTCTTAACAAATACAAAAAAGTAGAGATACTACCCTGCATTCTATCAGATCACAATGGAATGAAATTAGAAATCAATTATAAAATAAAAAATAAAAACTACTCCAACACCTAGAGACTAAATAATATGCTACTGAATAAATAATGGGTTGCAAAAGACATCAAGAAGGAGACTAAAAAATTCTTAAAGGTAAATGATAACACTGATACAACATATCAAAATCTCTGGGACACTATGAAAGCAGTACTAAGAGGAAAGTTCATTGCATGGAGTTCATTCCTTAAAAGAAGAAAATGTCAACAAATAAATGACCTAACACTACATCTCAAAGCCCTAGAAAAAGGAAAACAAATCAACACCAAAAGCAGTAAGAGACAGGAAATAATTAAAATAAGAACTGAAATCAATGAAATTGAAGCAAAATAAACAATTGAAAAAATTGACAAAACAAAAAGTTGGTTCTTTGAAAAAATAAATTGACAGACTCTTAGCCATACTAACAGAGAAGGAGAGAGAAAACTCAAATCACTAACATACATGATGAAAAAAGAAACATCACCACAGACACTACAGAAATACAGAAGATAATTAGAAATTATTTTGAAAACTTGTAATCCAATAAAATAGAGAATATTGGAGGCATTGACAAATACCCCAGGCCAACATCATTCTAAATGGAGACACATTGAAAGTATTCCCTCTAAAACTGGAACAAAACAGGGATGCCCGATTTCACCACTTCTATTTAACATAGTTCTTGAAATACTGGCCAGAGCAATTAGACAGATGAAAGAAATTAAAGGGATATGGATAGGAAAAGAAGAACTCAAATTAGCACGATTTGCCAATGATAAGATTCTATGCCTAGAAGACCCCAAAAACTCCACTGGAAAACTTCTAGAACTACTAAATGAATTCAGCAAAGTAGCAGGATACAAAATCAACACCCATATATCAAAGGCATTTCTATATACCAATGACATGCATGAAGACAAGAATGTTGTGACTATACTTTATATACAACCAGAGATAAAAAAAATTGTGCTCTATATGTGTAACATGAATTGTAAGGCATCCTGCTTTCATATATAACAAATTAGAATAAAAAATAAAGGGACTGAGGCTCAGTGGTAGAGTGCTTGCCTAGCATGTGTGAGGCACTAGGTTCGATTCTTAGCACCACATATAAGTAAATAAATAAATCTAAAAAAGTATTTAAAAACAATTCATTAATTAAGATAGTCTGAATTTTTTTTTTTTTTGATACCAGGGATTGAACACAGGTGCCACATTCTTAGTACTTTTTATGTTTTATTTTGAGACAGGGTCTCACTAAGTTTGTAAGGCTGGCTTCAATGTTAAAGGTGGGGCTGCCTTAGCCTCCCACATTATTGGAAATACAGGCGTGCACTACCATGACTAGCTTGATTTTATTAATCTTTAATCCTAACGTTCAAACTGTAGATCAAATGTTCAAAATATTTAAAGATCCGCTCATAATAAATAAAATTGATACAACATATTTATAAAGC